TTGTCATATACCCACAAATACGGGACCGAGAAAGAACACAGTAACGTAGTCGGATGAAATAGTATACTTGCGAGGTCTCTCCAAGGTACCGGTGCGTTCCAACTAACAGGCTAGAGGGTCGATTACGAGCAGTGCAACGTAACACGACAGTGTGTGGAATGGCGAGGATGCTCAACCGTGTGCCTTAGGCTCAGCGAGTCCAGTCGAACTATGAAGGTCAGCATCAATGTTGATCCTTGTTGAACCCCAGACTATTGATTCTGGAGGAGTGCGTAGTGCTGCGCATCACTCTACCTCTGGTGGGTTCGTGAGAACCCTAAGACAATACCAGCCGGAAGTAAACAACGGTGTCGTGGAGCATGAAAAATAAAATACCATGAATCGAGTTATACGTCGGCCGTGGTCTTCAGTGTCCTCGTAGGTTCTGTTCGGTGCTTGTTGCGCCTGGAATATAAACAGAAGTCCTTAACACCACGAAAACATTTAGTAAAAAAGGGAAACATTAATGTGTGAATATGTCGAAAATGGATTTTATTATCATTTTGTTTTTTGAATGAGTTTCTTTACGTGGTGGTAGAAAATTGGCACAGAAAGGGGAATGTAGGAAAATTTTCGCATTCTCAGTGGATAAAAAGGTAGATAAAAAACTAAAAGACAGTCGGGACGTTTTAACCGACACCACTTGGTTGAGTATGAATTTAGATGCTCCGGGAACCTGACATTTTGACCTGATTGTTTGTATTTATTGAGCCAGCGGTTGTTGTATCTGTTCACTATGAGACACGTCGTCTATAATTTCGATAATTTGGCTATGAACCGGTCGGCTCTGTTGTGTTGCAACGTCACTTGTTATGGGTGTTGCCTTGGGAATAAGCTGGTTTTGAAATGTTGATACTGACAGTATCTTCACGCCCGTTCCCCGGAATTAAGTGGACTTTCAGCTCCTCTTGATCACTCTGAATGGTCTGTCTTGTGGTGGTTCAAGTGGTTGACGAACGGCACGTTTGCGAATGAACATGCGTGATGTCTTTTGTAAAACGGGTGAGCGAAGACATCGGTTGCCTGAGGTCTAGCAGGAGTAGGTTTAAATCGGTCGCACTGCGTTTGTAAGCCTAGTCGCGTGGGTCGTCCTGTCAAAAACATGTTTGAAAGTTGAAGGGGACGCAAACTCACCTGGTAGGGGAAGAGTAGTCCCATAGACGAGTTCTGCAGGGGTGCATCCAGCACCAGCTTTTAACCCGTTGTGAATACGTAGTGGGACTAGAGGCAGGGCTTCGGTCCACTGAAGTATGCTTGCAGCTGAAAAGGAAGCTTTCAGCTTCCGGTGGAAAGGTTCTACCTTGCCATTCGCTTGTGGATGGTAGGCTGTCTTTCGGACCGGAGTATAACCTGAAAGTCCGGTCAAGGCGTGAAATGACCCACACTCGAATTCGTACCCACGGTCGGTTGTTGCGTAAGATGGGCATCCAGAGTTCGCCATCCACCTTTCGATGAAAACACGAGCGTCAGTTTTGGCAGTAATGTCCTTAGTAGGTACTGCCTCTGCCCATCTCGCAAAACGATCCCTGCATGTGAAAAGGTAGGTATGTCCAATAGATTCTGGTAGAGGTCCCACAACATCTATAGGGGCATGGTCGAAACGCACTCCTGGGACTAGAAGGGATCCTAAAGAGCTTCCATGTGTCGTGCGACTTGGCACTTCAGACAAGCTAAGCATGACTGAGCCCACTTTTAACGTCTTTGTTCATTCCTGGCCGGCAGAAACGTTGTGCAATAAGCCTGGCGGTGGATAGCACACCATGGTGGGATAGTTTGTGCAACGTACTGAAGATGTTGCATCGGCATCTCTTCGGTACTGTTAGGCGTGGTTGGGCAGTAGAGGCATCGCATAAAATTGTATCTTTGCTTGATTCTACTGGACTCAGTTGTAACTTGAGAGGTGTTGACGACAACTCATGATACAGCTGAAGGTCTGCTTTTTGACACCTGGCTAGCTCAACGAAATCAAGGCTTTCGATACGGTTTGTCAAAGCTATTCGATATCTGGCGCATCGACAGCAACACTCAAAGGGAGCTTTGGGGTGGTGGTGCATAGGTATGGTTGCCTTTGGAATGACTTCCCTGAATTCGGAGAAAGTAAGTCTGGCCACGCTGTCTAGAGTCACGCACTTCGTATTCCCTTTAATTACATCTATGAGTGGTCTCATGACAGGGGCGCATTTGGGGATGAACCTTCGGTAATAACTTATCAGGCTAGCGAAAGTGTGAGGCTGCTTCACAGTGGTCGGCTCTGGATAGCCACCACTTTATCTCTCAATGGGCGTATAACTTCCTTGTCAATGGAATGCCCAAGGGAACTGAGTGAATCATCTCCTGTCTCACGCTTCTGCAAGTTGGCTGTGATGCCATGTTTTTTTAGTCTGCTGAATACAGCGTCCAGGTGTTCAAGGTGAGTTTCCTTGTCCGGACTTGCAATGAGATGGTCATCGATGTAGATATGGACAAAGTCTAAACAGTGAAAGACATCATCCTTCAAGCGTTGGAATATTTGTGCTGCATTCCGAAGACCGAATGGCATGCGCAGGAATTCTACACTAGTAGAAATAAGTAATAAGGACTGTTTTCGCGATATCTTCTGCTGCTATAGGTATCCGATTGTACGCTTTGACCAGACTGACTCTGGAGAATATATTCATTCCGCATAAGGTCACAGTTAAATCGTAAACGTGAGGTATCGGGCAGTAGCCCGGTTTGTTTTGGCGTTAAGCCCTCGGTAATCACCGGTTAGACGCTAGTCATTGCTACCCTTTTTGGGAGCCGTATGCAATGGTGACACCCAAGGACTACTTGAACGTTTGATGGTGCCCGGTTCGAGCATGTGGTTGAATCAGCTTCTCGCCGTTTTGAGCTTATCAGGGGCTAGACGGCGTGCTTTGGATGTCACAGGTGGACCTATGGTTGTGATGTGGTGCATAACATTGCCGATTATTCACAGAAGAGTACGCTTCTGTTGTTGTAACTTTGAATATTACACAAACGCTGCCTGATGGCACACGTCACCTGATGGGTTATTTCTAACGGTGGCTAAGCTTGGACCTACGTATGTGGTGCCGCCAATAGATGACTTTTTTGTTATCTGTCAGCCGTCGACGACGAGCATCTACAAGTGGGTCGGAATGTTTTAGCAAATCCATACCAGCGATGGGCATAGAGGCGCCGGTTGGGAGGAAAATTCAGTGAATAGGTTCACGTAAACCTATTTTAAAGTAACCATACCGTCTCTCAAATGTTGTGGTCACCTTGCTGTTAGCTGCTCGAAGATTTAAAGATGGATAGTGATGCGGCTTCTTCATCGGTGCGGGAAGAACGCTAACTTCTGCGTCAGTGTGGACGAGGTAGCGAACTTACCTTTTTATATCGGCTACGTTAAGCGAACAGCTGCTTCCGCCGGCTACGGTTGAGTGAATGCGTGCCGGCGTGATGGTTTCCCGAGTTTGCACCCATGTTGAAACCGCATTGGCTTCGTCCCAATAGGTGTTGTGAAACCAGTACCACCTAGGATTTTCCACTCTGTTAGGTTTACTTTTTGGATAACCAAACAAGTTGCTGCGATGTGCTGAGAAGCGTTGCTGTGATGTGTTACGTAACCTGGGGATTCGAGCTCGTGACAGCCTTTTAAAAGAGTTGTTCAGCCTGGTTAGCTCTGAACCTTGGTTCACGGGTTCATCGCAGACAGAATATGCGTTGGAGGCGGGTCTGCTAGAGATCTCCAGTATTTTATCTGCTGAGGCTGTCAGGTTATCCAGTGGAACTAACTGAAGTGTCACCAACATGGTTTGCACAGGCTGTGGTAGTTCCAAGAGAAACGACCCTCGGAAAAGGCCTTTATCGAACTTTCGCATGCCCATAACTTCTCACATGCGTGCTAGGACTTCAGTGGCTGAGTTGCCGCCTAGCTCAACTTTACGAAACGATTCGTCTGGGCGCTAGCGACCTGTGAGATTACTTTCTCTCCTGAGTGCAGCTTTGGGAGGTGCATAGGGGTCACTTCAGAGCTAAACATATGCACTGTAGCGTGCCTGTTTCATTCCCGCGGTAGTGAACGTGTGACAGGAAGAAATCGAGAGTGGAGATCCGTGACTCCCTGCTCTCGAAAACCTGCCTCGGCATACAGAGACCATGTTTCTGCATTGTCTAGTCAGTATGGCACGGGTTTGGCAGTATTCGTCGTCGGCCTAATACGGATAAGCTTCGGGGTATGGTTGAACATAGGAGTTGTATATGGAAATATAAAGGTTATGAAAGTGGAAATAACGTACAGGTAAAAAAATGGGACGGGATCACCGATTTAAGGTTTGTTCTTGGCTGGGATTTGCTATCACGTCGGGCTCACCAACTTAGGAATGTCCCTGGTGTGAACTTGACAGACACGGAGGTCAATCACTAATTATTCAAACTTGTCATATACCCACAAATACGGGACCGAGAAAGAACACAGTAACGTAGTCGGATGAAATAGTATACTTGCGAGGTCTCTCCAAGGTACCGGTGCGTTCCAACTAACAGGCTAGAGGGTCGATTACGAGCAGTGCAACGTAACACGACAGTGTGTGGAATGGCGAGGATGCTCAACCGTGTGCCTTAGGCTCAGCGAGTCCAGTCGAACTATGAAGGTCAGCATCAATGTTGATTCTTGTTGAACCTCAGACTATTGATTCTGGAGAATTGTGTGACGCTACAACTCTTTTCGTTTGGCTTATTTTCAATTTGTTCTTCTGCCAACTTCCTCTCTGTCGTTTTCGTTGGATATCTTTTCACTCTTCCCATCTTGTTTTCACGGGCAGTTCAACTAACTGCTTGTTGACACGAACTCCAAGAAACTGATCTGAACTACAGTCATTGGAAAAATCAAATAACCCCTACGAATTTAATCAGCAAGCAACCACGTGTCGGTAATACCAGGGATACAGCTGGAGACTGGATATTGAACGGTAAAATGCGACATTTTTGAAAGTATCGCTACACTGCTTGATGGCATCATCGACAGGTTCGCACATTGTTCCTTTTTTTCCAGCTGTTGATTGTTAAGTCTAATGACTGGGAAAGAATCGAAAGGATTCGCCCTGTTTCAAATCAACAGCCAAGATGTATGGGATGCAGATGATCGTGAATATCAAAATATAATTTCCCCGAAGGGTAACATAAAATATGTCAGTTATTTTGTTGTAGTTATACAGAAAACTGCAGAGAAAGTTTTGGAGTTGCACAGGAGAGAGTCAGCAATTGGTGGCAGGAGAGATGAGGATTTTAGGAATGTACGTTGTAGACCACCTAATTTTCATTGACTACTATCTTTTTTTTCCGGAGGTGTTTGTGCCTAAATTAAGATAAGTAACTGACTCATACGATAATAAAATCGTCTTCGCCCTTGAAGCGCTGATGTTTAATTCGTAGATTCGACATCTCGGTCGGCTTCATAATCACGTCTTGAGGCTGATCAGGATGTCTATAAACTTCAAGCAAAAGCCAAGAAGAACTATCGTTGCATTTCGGAGTTATAGTATTTTTTCAGCAGTAGTATTCAGGCACGCCTTCAAGCTTGTAAATCTTATAGAGGGAATGTCAGAGCTTTTACGTGACATTTTGAGTGGGATTACAATTTCACTTTCTTTGATGCTGTTAACCTTTTGCTATGTGGTACCCTAGTTAGGAGACTTTTCTAAGGCACACAGTTGAGATTCCCACTGTGTTTCGGTATTCAACTTTCTTGTCGAGTGGTGTTGTGGATTTTTTTGTTCACGTTGAGGATAACAAAGTCGTTATCAACTTGCTAACTTTAAGTAAAAGGAACTTACTGGTTGGACAAAAGAAAGCAGTTGTAGGGCAGAAAGAAGCTCGTGGCGGAAACGAACCTAGAGTCAAAGGCAATTTGTAAATCGCTAAGATCACTCAAATCTGGTTTATAAGAAGATGTGTTTCTAGGTATTTTTCTACTGATCACCATTATCATGCTCTTCACTTCCTTTAACACATCATTCTTACGTAGTAATGTATCAGAAGACGTAAGTCTTACCCATAAAGGCCACTCAGAATTGGGCTTGGACATCTTTCAGTCGTCGCTTACAGTGTCGGTAACAGTGGAAGATTCGTAGCCCACACATTCACGAACTAAAATTGTATTGAGCAATATTACTGATTTCTAAACCAAAACAAATGATCAGTCTTTCATAAAAACATCTCATATACGTTAAGAAATTCACTAACTGGCATACTGATCATGATTTATTTACGTTCTTTGGAATGAGACTTTGTAGCGCTTGAAAATCCATAAAAACTGAGAAATCTTCTGTTCATTGATTTCGTTTGTTTATTTCTAGGTAAATACTGAAATAGATTTAAGTTTTGAACCAGCAGTTACTCGAACAAACTGGCAGTTTTAGGTTTTGTTTTTCCATCTGCGACACAACCCAACCTATAAGACATACCGCATGGTTGCCGAGGTGGAGTTTGGTAGATGGTATTAAGTTGAAAGCCATCTTCACCATCTGAACGTATTCCAGAATGAAGTCTCTTGATGAACTTTATAAGTTTCGTAAATGTCTTTAGTTGTCACTTGTCTACTTTGTTATTTCAGGGAAGATTTAGAACCTCATCATTTATTGTCACTTCCTTCCACTTACGTTTTGATATTTTTGTTACATTTTACAGAACTGTTTTATAAAATGTTTAGTTCTGACAATAAGCTTAAGATTAGTTTAAAATCGGGTTTTCTGAACAAGCATTATCCTCAAGTGTAGGCAAAAAGTTGGTTTCATATTACAGTCAGAAAACAGTACATCTCTGCGAATGTGTACAGGTTCTCGGTCTGCTACTTAGACTGTAAACGTCCTTACTTGTTAAACTGAGAGTGATGGAAAGAAAGGTTTAAACTTACTACATGTTTGATAGCCCAGAATTTTGAGTTATTGATATCTCAGTCAGCTTCTTACTATAGGAAATTTTATTTCTGTACACACTCCATGACTGAACAGCCTGATGTGCATGTAAAGTATCCTGAAGTATTGGAATATTAAATATTTGGGTGAGGAAAACAAAATATACTTATAACTTTTGAAGTAGTTGCACCTTAATGAATTAAACTCGTGGTTAGACACTCCAGGTATCTTGGCCCCTTGGTTCATCACAGTCTAGCAGATAGATTAATACCTTATCTTGGTCTTTGTATCGCCTTTCGTTTACTGCTTCCTTGTCTCCATTTTTGTCTTATGACTTCCTACTACTTTTGACGGACAGACAAGGTAGAACCTCGCACACAAGTGCATCTGTTCAAGTTGTCACAATTCACAGTATTATACAAGGAACAAGCGAATAGGAAAGACTGGTATAAGAGTATACAAAAGTGTATGAGAGGAGAGGGAATTTAAAAAAGTAAGGTAAGTCAAAACATTCCAGCTTTAGCAGATATTGAAGAGTGAATACATCTGAACCATTGTGACCGATTTTCAACCACTTCACCAAGAATCCTCAACCACTTATTCTTGTGTTCTCGAGAACCCCAGCCAAGTAGTCTGGAACTCTTTACTTGACTGAAACCAAGAGCCAAAGACTTCGTGGACTGGTGCCAGCTCTTAGTCTGGCCACCATAAACCGTCTTCCAACCTAATCCAACTGCTACCTTGGCGTGGTGATCAGGCTAATATATCACGATGATCCAACGAGTAATACTGGTGGAACGCTTAGTTCCTCGAGTTCCTATTATACAAAGAGGGTCTGTTGGATAGTGGTAAGACAAAAGACACTTAAGTAGCACCTTTGGAATCCCGGTTGAATAAACAGATAACGGTGATTGCCTACTTCAACTGTGCTCAGATAACCGTTTATTTCTAGCTAGCACCAATATTTGGACTTATTAAAGAAACTGGGGCCGAAGTAGTCGTCGATTAATGAGACTATAGCGGATGGGGATGAGTCTGTGATTCACTCGCAGGGGAGGAGACTGCAACGATGGGCAGAACACTTCAAGAAACAGTTCAGTTGATCTCTGGCTACTATTAAGTCGCCCGCTATCCCATTGAATTTTGAATGGAACACTGAAATAGACCCTCCAACACTTGCAAAAGTTGAGAAAGCAGTAAGCGACTTGGAACGAGGAAAGGAAGTAGGACCAGACAGACCAGTTACTGAAGTATATGAGGACCTTGGTAGTGTTCTTAGTCAACTGAAGTGTGAACTAATGTTTGCGGGTCAAATAGGATCCCATCTGACTGGTTTAAACTACTGATTACCCTAGTTTTCAAGAAAGGTAAGATGAATCAGTCTGACGAACATAGTGTCGAAGATTCTTGGTTCTATAGTCATTAGACGTCTGGGTGAAGCTCGAGAATAGCAAGTCTACATGGATGCAAAAGGCTCGGCTAGGTTTTGTCATCTAATGCTATCTATGGTACCGCCGCGATATCCGATTGTTTGTTAAACGTCGTGTGTGCTGTGCTGCAGTCTGCTCTGTTCTACTGTATAGCTGTGAAACGTGACCATTAAAGGTAGAAGACATGAGAAGGCTTCACGTGTTTGGCCACCACTACTTTCGTAGCATAGGCCGTGTTTCGTCGTGTCATCACATCAGTAACACAGAAGTGAGGTGTAGAGTTTCCGGGTGGAGAGGTAAGTCAGTTGGTGCGATTGTGAACCTTCATCGACTGAGATGGCTGGTTGGGACATGTGTTACGTACGTCTAACCACCATCTGCCTCGTCGCACAACGTTGAACGAAGTAAATTCAGGCTGAAAAATAGCTCGGGGTGGCCAGACTGAAGCATAGCATCACAACATGAAGTCCTTGACTATTCTCATTTGGGCCTTGTGGGGTGATGCAGACTAGCTGGTTAGGGTCTGGTGGATAAGAGAAATCAGTGGTTGTAGACTCTAGGTGATATAGCTCAGAACCGATGTCAGTGGCGTGGATGTATACACACATTATCTTTATCTCAACCGCTACACTTAATAGTGTCATTTTCTCATTTCTCCCTCCTTTCCCCTACTGCTTTCTACTTCTTCCTACCGAAAATTTTTTCCTTCGTCTTCCATTTTATTGCCTTATAACTTGATGTGCTGATATGAGGTGTGGCAACTTGGACCGTTACGCAGCGATGCCTTGTCCTATTTTGACATTGATGATGAAGATGAATACAGCTTTCCATAGCATTGCTTGTCAAGGCAGCCGATGGCTCGACTTGCGCAGCACATGTCCAAGCCATCACAGTCGTTGTAGGTTCACAACCTCGGTGACTGACTCACCTTCCTTGTCGAGTACTCTTCGCCTGACTTCTACGTTGTTAACGCTAGCAGTGCTCTGAAGACACCTATGCAACCGTCTCATATCTGGCAGAACCGCCACATTAGTAACTTTAATGTCAAGCGTAGAGTTTTGGGTAAAGGAGTCTGGTCATTTAGTGGGGTTGTTAAACTTCATCGACTCAAGTGTCTGGGGCATGTTACGTATGCCTAGTTATCGTCTGTCCTGTCGGGAAATCTTATCTGGTCTGAGTATGGGCTAAAAATGTTTGCAGTTGCCTAGACTAAGGCATGACACCAGTCTATGAAGTCTGTGACTACTGGAGTTATCCATGTAGTGGAACGTAGAATTCCGGATTGGGGTGTGCGTGAAAATCTAAATAAATGCTCTGAGACTTTATTTGGTGTGGTTTACAATCGATCTCACTGACGCAAATGCATTCACGTTCGCTTTTGCCCCAACTCCGTTTACCGTAGGATTTTCTACCACCTTACCTTACTTTCTTCTTACTTATCTTTCATCATGGTGCCTTTTACTTTCATTTGGTGATACGAGATGTGGCAACTTGAACTATCACTCGTTTAAGCTAGGTCCTATATTGATATTAACTGTTGATTTCTGATTTTGTTGCTTCCATTCCTTTATTTTTCATCTCGGCCTATATCTTGATCTGTTTATTTGAAATGTGGCAACTGATCGTTGCGCGGTAGTACCAGGTTTTATGTTCACTGTATTTTCCTTCTGAATCTATGAAAATCACAGTATCCATTAAGCCTTTTAGTTCAATCTACTTGTTTTAACACTTAGTGGAGGTATGGATCAAAATTACGTCACTATTTATTTCCTTAAAACGAATAAAAATCTCAGCAAACACGCACACATCCTCACAGTAGGCAATTAGCCATATCCAATGTGTGAGGGTTTATGGTAGTACATGGCTATTCACATTTCTGTAGATGGTGTTCAAAGCACTGGCTGAGACTCAAGTCGCCAGACTAATGAGTAACAGCTGTGTTTGTTGAGTTGGTGCTATGAACCTGCATGGTTTGTCTTAAGGCACTCAGCAACCCCTTGCATTCTCATGCAGTATGCAATGAGCCACACCTATTGTCGGGAGGGCTGTCCAAACCTCGATAGGTGAAGCGGTACTCAAACCCATGACCCACTGGTTAAAAGTCAATTTCCTGAGCCAATGACCTACAACCCCACACGGTTTGTCTTAAATTAATCCTTAAATCACGAGGACGGTTTCACACGAAAATTTGTTCAGTGTTTTGTCTTTCTCATTAAGCGAAGTGATTCGTGCGATCATTCACTAAATCATTTTAACTATCTGTCTCATATGCTATGTTGTTGTAATCTTTTACTGATTTCTAGATTGAATCATTAGAAGTGAAAAATACCCTCGTACTTCCATTCGACAAATTTCCAAAACATGCTCCGGGCATGGGTGTGAGATTGAGAGCAAGTCCTGATGATTTTCCAGTTGCCCAACAGAAATTGTTGGATCAAGGTCGAACCCAACGTTTCAAAGCGTGTATCAACTCTAGTATAACAGATTTAGGTATGTAATTTCGCGTTTACTTTTAGCACAGTTTGATTGTTTGTAGTACATTGTAACCCTTTGACTTTCACTTTATACTCAGTCGTTTGTAAGCATTCCAATATCGTGTATTTGATAGTGGATGTACGTTGATAGAAACCAAGATAGCTTTTACCTCTTATCCGTCTTGTTTTATCAAATTGACCTTTTGCGTTATTGCAGCCTATCATGAGGTTGTTGTCGATGGGCTGTAAGTGTCTCTTTGCTACTTACGGATACAAAGAACCCAAAACTTAGGATATTTGTGTATCTTTCACTACGGTTATCACAGGGTATGGATGTTACCAAAACAAAAAGCAGTAGAATAAAAAGAATGAGACGCGCGTCCTGGATTCCACTACTAGACACTATCTATCAGTATAATTTTCCTCATCTATGGAAATGTATAGATAATATCATCTACATTCTTCAAGTTGCAATTGTAGATGTCCTGTGAAACCCAACTAATACATCTTGTTTATATATGATGCTAACAATTAACTACTTTCATTTCTTAGTCCGATTGTTTTAGGGTTTCTCTTAACACTCTCATTTCTGATTACAAAGCACTTCGAGGTAAGTAGTAGCTCATCATACGTGACATATGTCTCATCCACCGCACCATTTACGCTATTTCAACTCATGGAGTCTCTCAGTGGCTTGTAGAGAATTCCTAACTGAAGTGGTGTTTGGAGAAATGTCCGCTATAGATATTTATGTTTACTTTTGCTGTTGATTTAGGAATAAGGATGATTTCTAATTTACAGGAATCCACTTACTGCTGGCAAAGTTTTAGATCGGCTTCTATTATGCAGGTGATGAAGTCCATTTTGTTTATTACATCAAAAAGGTTTTTCTGAACGCATTCCACAAAAACCCTGGTAAATTCTGGGAGGTATTTCTTACCTACTAAATGCACTTTGGAGCTTCAAGACTCATCTACACGGAAATCTGATTTAATGACAGGAAATGAAATGGATAAGTGTGTCTTCCACCACACTTTTTTGAGTTGTATAAATGGTAATGTATTAATTGCTAACAAAATCACAGGATGGATACAAAAAGCTCGTTTAGTTTTTACTTCCGTGTGCCATCTTTAGTGGGTACAAACTATCTGACTACTCAGTGTCCATCGAAGTGCAAAGCACTTTTGTAAGATTGTCAGAAGTTTGTACCTGCGCTCACCCTCGGTGGTGAGCCGTTGTAAGTAGTCAAAAAATTCCTGTATTTGGGTAGTTGTATGAGTTCTGGTAGTGTGTGATGAAATTTCTAACTGTATATCGAAGGCCAGAGTGGTTTACACTAATCTGGAGGGCATTGTCGCGACGTTAGTATGACCGTATATATATATATATATATATATATATATATATATATATATATATATATATATAATACAGAGGGCAGATGTACTAGTCCACTCTGTATGGCTGAGATATAGCCATTGAAGAAGTAAGGTACGAAAATATTCCAGGTTTGTGAGTAACGAATGTCTTCCTCTTCCGCACCCACACGACTTATTGAGAAAGTAGTATTGTAGCCAGCTACAAAGTTTTATTCAAGTAGCATAATTGGAGGAGGTCGGGGACTTGAATCAGTTTACATTAGCTGGGGTATGTCTTACTCATACTGAACTACTTGTGCATCCTGATATCCAATGTTAACCGGTGTATAGTTAAATTATGAGGAAGTCAAGGTTTGTCAAGTTTGTCACACTGGTTTGTCTGACTCATCTAGGGTAAGTATAGACTATTTGGGGGTCATCGTGTTGCTAAGAGTCATTTGTTAGAGATCCTCTGTGAAGTGACTGAGAATCTATTGAAATAGTATAGACATATTATCTCTTCGTCTTCATTGCAATCTGAAACATCTCATAAGGCTTTTTTCACGTGTTCACCTTACGCTCGTTTCTTCATTTTTTATTACAGCATCTTCCTATTCATGTTGAATTTCTGTTTTTGAGCTGCTAAAACATTTGATTACTTAGTTCAGAATAGCTTTATTGTATCCCAATTTCTTGTCGCTGTTTATGATGTGCATACATTTCGTTCGTAACAGCCCATCTTACTGTACTATCGTTATCCAACTCTATGACCAGCCTCAACGTTGCTGAACTGGAAAAATAGGCTAATCCATATAGAACCCAGTTCAGTATTTCGTTGATTAGAGTTGCCATACTATAGGTCTTAGGTTTTATAGCTTGTGAATCTTCGTTATCGATTAGACCATATTGATGGGACATTATTGGCATATGGACTCCTGTGCAGATACCTCGATATTTCCGATATTTTTCGGATTTGATATTGATGATAGATAAAGGCTAGCAGTGAAATGCAGAGTGGATATTGTTTTAAACACTAGAACGTTATCCAGTAGGCCACTGGATCATAATGGCGTTCTGGATTTCACTGCTAGCCGTTATCCATCACTAATACTGTTGTCGTACTTTACAGCACCATGCAAATGACAGGTGGGTAGAAAAGAGTGATAATAAACTAGACAAAGTGCATGAGGTGGAGAGAAGGGAAAAAAAGTAATCCAAGCCATTCTGATGTCAAGGAGTGAATACATCTGCTCAGTTGTAGCCGATTTTCAGCTAGGAGTCTCCAGCTTTCGTTTTCAACATCTCGAAAACCCCGACCAAGCAGTTTATATCGTCCTACACAGCTGAGACTTGATCGATTGGTGCTAAGCCTTGATCTGTTCGCTCTTAACCTTCTTCAAGCCTACTTGTATTTCGGCTGACATTGCACGGCATATGTCCAAACCACCTCAATCGATAGGGAATTACAATTTGACCGTTCGATTTCCTTCCTTATCTAATATACTACGCCTAACCTTAAAGTTTCTTACACGGTGACTCTGCGATAGGTGAGTGATGCTGCGAATACATCTGTAGTCAAAAACTTGTAATCTTTCTATATCTTCTCATATATTTGAACTTCATTTAACCAGGTGACCCCGTGGGAGTAAGTCAATCGCTTTTAGGTCAGGTTATATCCATAAATACATCTATAACGAAGTTAAACAGGAATAATTGGAGAAATTAGCTCATGCGCACACCACTGGTCGTTATCAGTTCATTTGAAAACGTCCAATAACCCACTACATGGCTGTGAGTCCCAGTAAAGAGCCTCGATTAACGTAGTGATACTTGCTTGGCACCCCCTTCATAGTCACACATTGTCACAACGCCTCTCTACCAACGTAGTTGAATACCGCCTTCAGGTTAGGAAACCTGTGCATGTATCGCCGTTAAGTAGGCTTGTGTTTTAGAAGCTGTCGAAGGGTAGAATGCTCATCATACTTCCTCATTTCGATTCGAAAGCTGCATTGTCTCGTCGGAACCTATTCAGGCGTTGGACAACTATGGATCTTAAGATCTTAGATAAGATGTTTTCCGAACTGATTCCCGTATGATCTTCATACGAAAAGGTCTCTCCACTATAGACTGGAATGGTCAGCTGTTTGGACTGCCTCCAAGTTCAGTACACTATCCAGTGTCTCGCTAACTCTACTCAGTGATTTTTATCTTCATCCTTAAGAACATTTCCAACCTTTACAGCCCATTCAAGTTTATTTCTATGTCATCAAGGTTTCTGGTCCTCTTGAGAAATTTTGAGAGTTAGAATCTATCTACTGTAGAATTAAGTAGTAGTATATTGTAATTGGCTTATTCGAAAGGCATTTGATATTGAAATTTTCGAATAACTTTGTAGCTACATTACGTCAACTTTCGTGGTCAGGGATTCCAGAAGATATCCGTCCAACAGTATGGAAGCTGTTATGTGTAAGTTTTCTTTTTCCTAATTTTATATGATGTCCAATGTCGCACAAACTCGAAGATCTACAGGCGAAAACTAACAAGTTGACAGAAGAGGTGAGGCAGCTATGGAAGACGGGACTTCAAGTGGACGCATCGTTTCAACTACAGGTGGAGGCGGCACAGACAAGGACGTCAAAGCCAGCCAAGATCGGAAAGACAGCAAGGCAGGCGTTGATTCGCCTGAAACCATTGTAGAGATCTTCTGCACTCAGCCTACAATAAGCGTGAACAATATCCACATTTTCAACACCAACGTCAGTCAAGTCAGTGCATCTATGTGATGGTTGAGAGACTTGGTGCGTTACGAAAGGCATTTTCAACAAATTACAGATATTCATCAACAACTGCCTGCACTGGCTCGATACTGACAGTGAAGATTAGATGGCCAGAATAATTGGAATAATCAACAAGGAACTGTGGCTGGCTGGCAACGAACCAACTGAGTGAGAACCTATTGCTGAACAAATATGCAGAAGGAAGTGGAGATGGACTGGACTGGGCATACACTGAGAAGGCCGACTGGGGACATCACGTGCCAGGCAGGCCTTCGAGTGGAACCCAGATGGGAGACGACGAGTTGGGCGTCTGAGGTGAGGGGGACATGGAGGAGGTGATGTGAGGAAGAAATGTGAGGTTGCGGGCAGTGGTGCAGCGGCGTTGAAAAGACTGCAGAGAAGCGAGTGAAATGGCGACGTGCTACTGAAGGGGTATGTTCCACTAGGAACCCAAGGGAAAAATTTATTATTATTATTAGTTGTAGTATTTTTTCCCTTGGGTTCCTAGTGGAAGACGGTAGCACGTCTCCATTCCACTCTCTTCTCTGCAGTATTCTCAACCTCGCTGCACCACTGCCTACAAACTCTCATTTCTTTCTTACACCATCTCCTCCTTGTCACCCTCACCTCAGACGCCCAACTCGTCGTCTCCCATCTGGGTTCCACTCGAGTGCCTGTCGCGTGCATGCCCTATCCAGTCCATCTCCACTTCCTTCTGCATATTTGTTCAGCAATAGGTTCTCACTCAGTTGGTTCGTTGCCAGCCAGCCACAGTTCCTTGTTGATTATTCCAATTATTCTGGCCATCTAATCTTCACTGTCAGTATCGAGCCAGTGCAGGCAGTTGTTGATGAATATCTGTAATTTGTTGAAAATGCCTTTCGTAACGCACCAAGTCTCTCAACCATCATATAGATGCACTGACTTGACTGACGTTGGTGTTGAAAATGTGGATATTGTTCACGCTTATTGTAGGCTGAGTGCAGAAGATCTCCACAATGGTTTCAGGTTGATGAATGCCAGTCTTGCTTTTCGGTCCTCGTCTGTGCCTGTGCCGCCTTGTAGTTGAAACGATGCTGCCTAGATAGGTGAGAGGCTACTTCCTTTATGTTTCTCCCTTTGATGGTGATTGCAGCTTTGTTGTTGTTGGTCGTCGTGGTGTTGGTTGGGTATCTTCATCACCTCCGTCCTCTCTATGTTCACTTGAAGTCTCGTCTTCGCTGCCTCAATTTATTTAATTGTAAAATAGGAATCTGTTAGTTTCTGTTGACATTAATCTATTGGTTTATACCGTGGATTATTAAATATATCTCTCAGCTTTAGAATTTACTATTGAGCTGGGATTGGAATCAGCTATTCCTTTCCTTAACGTGCTGATAACGAGACGTGGGAATGAAGTACTGAAAAACTCCATCAACAGGAAACGTATATGGGATAAACACCTTACTAATTTCGCTAGTTAGGTGCTGATCATGAGGAAAAGAAACCTTATTCACTCACTCTGCTGTCGAATACATAATATATATAACACAGACTTTATCCAAGTTGAACTTGGCTTTCTAAGAGAGAGGCTTGCTGAAAACAGCTATACTAGGTGATTTATTGATAAGGATATGTGAGAAAGACATGCAAAACCTGTTATCAGCTCAGTTTCTCAAAAAAAATTTGTTCATGAATTTTGAATATAAGGGTGATGCAGCATCATATATCCTGAAAATTCGTATTTCCAGATCAATTAGTAGTACTTTTTTCTCAGCTAAACTTCCTTTTGTCCTTATTAGTCGTAAATTGTTCTCCGTGTGTGTAAACGACAGTATCCCTCTAAAGGTCAGATCCATATGTATCTACCAGTTCACCTGCTCCGGTGGAGCAAGATACATCGACCATAGTCAGAGATTGCTGTCAACACGTATACGAGAACATATTCCGGCCTGGTTTATAAGGGTGAAAGGAAATTCATCAGAAGTTCTATCCTTGAACATTTAATCGATTCCAAGCATTCAACCGACTCAAACAATGATTTTAAGGTTATTGTTGAGTATTTGTCCACATGAACACCAGATTTACCCCACCCATCACGACTTCTCATTGGGACTTCAGGAATCACCCCTGGAAGCTAGTCACCAATGAGCGCTAAATCAATTTAATTTGGGGTTTTGGGGGATTTAGTGATTTTTCCAAGTTGATATTCATCATCAGCTGACGTCCGTTGGAGGAGCATTGGAAACCTGGGGGTAATGGAAACTGTAGCGTCCTAGCATGGAGCTCCTCAGCCGTGCGCACACACAACTCCGCCCCACCAGGGATCAGACCCGGAACCTTCAGGTCCCGTGGCCAGACACTGGGTCGGAATCCACTGGTCCATATTTCCAATTTCTGTCATTTCACGATATAGTGCGTGTGTCAAATTCGCTCAAACACCTCACGTTTCCTCAGTGTTCAACTTTTAAAAACAGCAGTGGCCTTGGCTATCCATAAACTGAGCCCTGACCATTGTGTACAAAAGAAGTATGTACAGTCTTTGTCTCTATCTTGGCCTTAACCTATTTTGGTCTTGCTGTGCTTCTGCCTCTTTTCGTTTTTTCAACCTCCTCCTCCTTTTTTGTCAGATTAATCTCTGTACTCTTATACCGTCATTATCACTTTATATTTAATTGTTTTCGGTGTTATTTCATTTGATCTTCATAATAATTGCTACTTCTAACAAAACCTTTTCAGTAGTATATTTTTGAGATGAATGGGGATTTTTAATCTAGGGGTAATATCACGGACTGCTTTCAGATGGATATCGCAAAGTTCTAATGAGAAGCCGTGACCTATAAGGTCAACCAGTCAGTAGGGTAGCGAATGCCAACTGAGGACTTTGGGTCATAATCTCGCTATCTCGTGAATTGACAAAAGGTGGAAACAGTGAACCGCTAAAAACCTATCCATTGGCTGAATAGTTAACGCCGTGAAGCCTGAAGGTTCTGAGTCCAATCCCTAGTTGGGTCATGGATGTGTGCTGCTGAAAAGTCCCACACTAAAACGAAACAGCTATCTAGTGCTCCTAGATTTCCAATGGTTCCTCAACTGATATCAGTCCGTGATGAATGCTACCTCTAAAACATTTTCAATTTATCCCAACTAACCTGTTGTCTCATTTATATAACCTAATCCTTTGATTGTTTATTAACTCTACCACATTTTTATCCTTTTGTAATCTATATGCACCTTATAAACGACGTAAAAGGTCTTACATCATCGGCTAGTGACATTATTTGATATATATATAGACATCTTGGGAATAAATTCATTGAAAAGAGTCCTCTTTGCTGAATATCTTGTTTTTTTTTATGTCACAATAGGAATTATGAATGTATAACTCTGAATGCTGAAATCTTATCTCAGTAGTAGTCAGATAAAATACTAGGGTACTAGCTTGTAAGCGGTCTTGATACCAGGTGTATTTGATGAAATCAACATAGTGCGAATAGGTTTGAACGGTGAGCGACTTGATAAATGTATTGACTACTCAGATATTACTGTGATAATAAAATATACCTGTAAGCTACTTGACTGGGCTTTTCTGAACTTTATTCTCGATAAATAATCATTCCTTCAGATTATATTTAGAATAGATTATCATCTTTTACTTTGTTAATATTGTTTTGTTCCCATTTCTTTTCTTCATTAAAGGATTATCTTCCAACCAGTTCTGACCGTCGTGTTACTGTATTATCGGATAAGCGAAAACAATATTCACTTTTTGTCAGTCAATATTTTCATTTACGTGAAAATCCTAAACACAAACCAATGTTCCACCAAATCCAGAAAGATTTAACCAGAATGACATTACTCTATAGAAGGCCAGAAATGGTTGCGGTAAGTGAACTAATATATTAGTGAATGAATATTTCACTAAACCTCTTAACCAGTAAGCTTCTTTGAATCTCCTTTGTTGATTGGACCAAATTGATCGGTTACAATTGGTATATAACTTCAAAGACTATACTATGCTCGTCGTGCAAGCAGTGGCTATCTTGGCTCATTGGCCTGATAAAGAACACTCTGTCATATGGGTTGGAGTCTTAGTGGGAACTACATTACTCACTAAGAGATAGGTATATCCAGCTGACGAGCCCTAAATAGGACGAAACGTGTGTAGTGAACCCTATTGCTATCTACTACCCGTCATTAATAAGCAAGCTTCTTTGTTTTAGCAGTGCATATTGTCAACACCTTCTGGAAATTATGTCTCCAGGTTAATCTGTTTCTTCTCAGCTCCACTTAACTTTCTTTAATTTACGCATAAAATACCTGAACACCTTGTTTAAAATCTTACGATAGGATGGATTGGTGCAGTTCTAAAGAGTGTCAAGCAAATTCGAAGCGGATATCCATCGCTTAGTAGTTGTCAGTGTTGCTTCTATTGATGTCTATTAGGAAAATTGATTTTGACACCAATGCATTCCCTAGAAACATCAATCCAACGATTATACATTTATGTTGAGTGGTTGAAAGCAGTTGAAAGGAAGCTATGGACTTAGGTTTCGTGTTTGTTAGCACTCGCCAGCTAAACGTATCTACAACCTCAAAGTAATCGATGTTCACTGAGAGGTTTGAACCTGCGTCACTCAATATTGCAGTCGCTAGGGTTATCCGAATAACCCAGTGGTAGCATCTATGACTGCAGATGGACAGAGAAAATCAATGTAGAACCTCTCACATTGGAGCCTGAGTTGGTGCTACGTTTTGGCTTGGCCACCCTAACCCTTCTAGTCCAACGGGATGTCAACGTAGATGGTGACTCGGCTTGCACAAAACATGTCCAAGCCACCTCACTCGGTGCAAGGTTCATAACCCGTCCTGTCCAGCTATTTGGCATCGTTTGAGGTTAGAAAAATACTTCTTGACTTCGAGTGTAGTTGAAGGACTGACATCTATGTTCCATTCAGATCCGGCCTGTGTTGGGCAACGGAAGCGTTACTGAAGACCAGTTGAACTGTGCTTCAAAGTACCCACTTGTCCTGAAGGGTTATCAGGGTCGCATCCTTTTCTGGTAATGATCTCACCATTTTATTCCTGTCAATGTTCCAATAAACCTAAATAGTTGCCGGGTATCACCTAGTACCCACTCACCACTGCTCGGGATCATTGCGAAAACCCTTGACCAATTTAAGCTTGAGCTGCTTTCCCTCTTCATTGTGGTCAGAATCTGTTGGAATGAGTCTTCTCTCATCAATCTGTTCGGATGAGGTTACGGAAATCAATTGATATTTACTAACCTTCGGGTATGGATTATCAACTGTCATTGTCGCTATTTCTAAAGCAGGCTAATATTTATATTATGCCAAGTTTCATCAGGATGTGAATTACTGCCATGTTTAAATTAATGTTTAGCTAACTACTCCCTTAATATACACTCGATGTTCTTATCTTCTAGTTGAAAACAGAGCGATTTTGTTATTGCCTGTTCCACGCATTTCTTAAGATACACATGATCGTAGTCAACTTCATCTCACACACAATTTGAGTATTATAGTTGCTTATTGTTTGCTTTATTTAGATAAATTGACTGGAGTCCACTGGTATAGAGGACATCCTTGTAAAGTAACATTGAATTTGCATTGATTTTCGTAATGGTGTTATTCGTTTCGCATTACCTAGCGTCCAGACTCCGGATGTGCATTTCATCCTATCCTGGACTGGTCAACTGAATATACCCGCATCGCAGTTACTGGTATAGGTTTCCAGGTGATCCTTTTCTTGTACTCATCATTTTAGGTACTACAGCACCGTCCAATAGATTATGAAGTTGTGTGGTATTCTGCTAACTGACTGTAAACATTTGACATCCATCTCATATTCCGTTTTTCTCGTTGAGTAGGGAAGATTGCTTTAAATTCTATTACATGAGACATTACTATTCTGAAGTTCCACCATACCTGTTTCCTTTTATTCGTTTTAATCCTTAGGATGTTAGTTGATTGGAAGGAATCGGCAGGAAGCCCTAGACCTAGGTTTCGTTCTTGCTGGCACTCGTCAGCAAGGCGTACCTGCAATCTCGACGGAACTGATGTCCCACCTCAGATTCGAACCGGCGTTACCCAGTGTTGTAGTGAGCAAAGTTACCATTGAGCTATTTGGGCCGCGATTGACCTCCTGTAGGACTGGTTTACATGTATTGATTGGTCACGGGAGAGCGATCAATTTCTTGTTGTCTAGTCCTAAATGCAGACCGAGTCCTATCGATCATATTTACAATATGACCACCATGTTAGGAGGTCCAGCATTACGGTACACATTGGTAGATGTTACTTAGTTGGAGGCGATCAGTTCGAATAGCTCAGTAGTAAGGTCGCTGACTACAACACTGGGTAACGCCGCTTCAAATCTCAGGCTGGACGTCAATTCCGTCGAGGTTCCAGACATATGCCTTGCTGACGAATGTCAACAAGAACGAAACTTAGATCTAGGGTTTTCTGCAAATTGTCTCCAACCAACTAATATTTATCAATATGCACTGTAATACTGAGCCTCGTAGCTTTATGGCCGCATTACAATTTGATCTTCACTCAATACTAGAAAACATGAAATCGATAGCTCTCCCTTGGCAAATCAACAATGTTCTTAGCATATTTCTTATTTATTTTGCATTTTACAAGTATGCACAATTGAATTTTCATTTATCACTTTTATTTCTTCTTCTTACTTTGGTAAAATTATATAGATGTTTGAAAGGATTCTATTTGTTTGGTCAATGCGACATCCAGGAAGTGGTTATGTTCAAGGCATTAATGATTTGTTAACTCCATTCTTTATTGTATTTTTGTCAGAATATACACATGTTGGTAAGTTTTAAATCATTATGAATTACCTTCGAAGATAAATAATGATGATGATTTATTCAGGCTATTTGTTACATCTTTTTTTTATTGTCTTCTTAACATCCATGAAAATCTTTGATGAATTACGTCAAAGATTACATTACAGGTTGTATATAAAATTTGGTAGTGGTAGGTAATCTGATTGAAATAGATGAATGTGTTACTCGAAAACTTGAATATATTAATGATGGATCGTGGCTAGCAGTAAAATCCAGGATGTGCATTTCGTCTTATTTAGGACTCGTCAGCTGGATGTGAGTAATGTTGTTCCCATCGGGATTTGGACTCGGGAGCAATCGCTTTAAACGCTAACGCGTTATGCACTACACCACCGAGCCACGATAACCACTTCTTGTGCTACGGAAATAGTTTTAGTATCATTGTTTGCATATCATACGGTCGTTGATTGGACAGAATTGATCGGTCTCTATTGACATATGGGCTCCTGTGCATCCAGCTGAGGAGTCCCAAATAGGATGAAATGCGCATCTTGGATTCCACTGTTAGCGACGATTCATAATTAACATAATTAGAATGGAGGCAATTTCGAGGCATCCGCACAGGAGCCCATGTACCAATAGAGACCTATCAATTTGGTCCAATCAACGACGGTATGATATATAACCTAGGGAGGCGATAGATATTGGCAAACCTTCGTCTTGGCAAACTACAGATTCTTTGCATTTATAACCGAAATACGAAGAAAAGACACTTTCAATGAATGAAGGAAAGATCAGAAAAATCTATTCTAGCAGGGATTAAATGTTTTTTCTCACTTAAAATTGCTGAAAATGCAATTGTGGTGAGCTATAACATCAACTCTTGATACGATTATTATTGTTTATTTGTCCCATGGCTTCCTAGTGGAACGTACGGCTTCAGTAGCACGTCTACATTTCACTTCCTTCTCTACAGTCTTTTCAGCCTGGCTCCATAACTGCCCAGAAGGATTCGTTTCTTCCTCACACCATCTCCTCCATGTCACCCTCGACTCAAACGTCCAACCCGTCGTTTTCCATTTGGATTCCACTTGACGGCCTGGCCGGTTGCGTGATGTTCCCAATCGGCCTTTTCAGTATATGCCCAATCCATATCCACTTTCTTCTGTAATAATTGATGGCCTAGATATTATTTATAATGTATTAGACTCAGATATAACATTGACAGAATGATGTCCACTGAATCCGAGTGAGATCATCAAGTTTCTTAAATTTTCTTCATAGACTACTTACTTCCCATTTAAAGAAATCCCTACTGGTAAACTAACGAGGTTGCTGTAGATTCACCTGTTTCGGTCATAGTTGATAACCTATTTATAAGTAAATTCAAGGAGAGTGTCTTTACTCACTTACTAAAGCTGAAAATTTAGCTGACATATGTTGATAACACATTCGTAATTTTGAAACGCAACTTATACCAAGTATTCTTAGGTCAGCTAAACTCTAGATCTCCAAGGATCAAGTTCAACTTAGACAAAGAAAAAGATAAGGTGGAACTCCCTTTTTTTTCTTGTTAAGCGGGAGAAAAAAAAGGATATTTATGTAGTACCATTTTCAGGAAAGCAACGCATTTGAACAATAAATTTCAACTCATCACATCTAATTAGTGCAAAAGTTTCTGTTGCCTACAGTCTTTTAAGGAGAGCATACACTCTAATAACGAATGGAAATGAAGCAGTTAAGGCATAAAAAATATGTGAGCAAGATACTTAAAGTGAAAAAAATTATCCTGTGAAATTCATTCGCAAAATAGAAAACAACATTCAACCGCTGAAGACCATGACTGGTCTTCAGCGGTGCCGTGGCTAACAATAGAGAGTGTAGTGATTGAGTGTGTTGACCACTTCACTTACCTGAGAAGTAGGATCAGCCATGGTGGGTCAGTTGCTGATGAAATCTCTGCACGAATACAAAAGGCTCGATTGGCTTTCGCCAATTTACACCTTCTATGGCGCCACCGTGATATCCGATTGTCTACTAAGGGTAGCGTATACTGCACAGCAGTCTGGTCTGTTCTACTGTATAGCTGTGAAACATGACCGTTAAAGGTAGAGAACATGAGAAGGCTTCACGTGTTTGGCTACCACTACTTTCGTAGCATAGGCCGTTTTTCGTCATGTCATCACATCAGTAACACAGAAGTGAGGTGTAGAGTTTCCGGGTGGAGAGGTAAGTCAGTTGATGCGATTGTGAACCCTCATCAACTGAGATGGCTGGTTGGGACATGTGTTACGTACGTCTGACCACCATCTGCCTCACCGCACAATGTTGAGTGATTTAGGCGCAGGCTGGAAAAAGGCTCGAGGTGGCCAGACTAAAACATGGCACCAATGTATGAAGTCTCTGATTGTTGGTTTAAGCCATGTGGGGCGATGCAGATTAGGTGGTTGGGGTCTTCGGGACAAAAGGAACCAGTGGTTGTAGACTCTAGGTGATATGGCTCAGAACCGATCTCTGTGACGCAGAATGTATCCTCATTATCGTCATCTTAACGACGCTATATCGAATCTCACCATTTTGTCATTCCTCTTTTCTTTCCTCTCGTACTTTATATTTCCTTTGACTGTATTCTCTTATCTTCGTCCTTTACCTCACTACCTTTTTACTTGATGTAGTAGTATGAGGTGTGGCAACTCGGAGTGTTAGGCAGTAATGCCTGATCCTATGTTGATATTGATTGATTGAAATCATAAAACTGCTCCTAAACCATGAATTTAAACAATAGTCATCCCATACAAATCACCCACAAAAAATTCGATATCAGAGTATTCTACAGAACATCAAACATATTGCAGAGCATCTTAATTCATTTGAAGGATGAGATTTTTCTATATTCACAATCTAATTGTGTTTATAAACTTAAGTGCTTAGACTGTGATGGAATACATACATAGGACAAACTTCCCGTAAAATCAAAATTAGAATAAATGAACATCGAAGAGTTTCCACCCGACCCTATAGAAATCCAGTGGGACTGAAAAAAAAACACAACTTGAAAACACTTCAGTCATAACGTAATTTCAGATCACAAGGTCAGTTTTGGCAATATTGAAATTATTCAGAAAGACTGTATAAAGAATGTCTCATAGCACACACACACACACACTACACACTAAGTGAAATCAAAATTGTCTAAATAGGAATCAGGGAGCAAACTGTAATTTGACCCTGGTCTCAACCCACCTCCACATACTGACATAACCAACACAGACACAGGAGATAAGAACGCAGAATCATTCATGCAGACGAACACATACAAAGTTGTCATATATAAGCTTGGAAGATATTGTAAATCCCAGTTTACTATAACTTTGATAAACCCGTTAGCAGCATTCAATAGTGAAACGTTAGTTGAAACAAATTTATTTTGTTTTACACACTCATTGAGAAATTTTAATAGCAAAATAACGAATCTATCTCAGCATTTGTATGGAAATATATGGCATTAGATGCTACAATATACAAAAACGCTTAGAAGTCATATATGCCTTTGTCTGAAATGGTTTAACCTCATCAAGCTATTGTTCACAAAAACGACTTTGTTGCTCAGACAATTAAAGTACACACAAATAAATTTGAAAATATATCTAGTCTAACGGAGTCATACAAGGAAATTTCCCTACTGTTATTTCAATAATATTGTCTCATATGGATTAGTTGACATGATGACAATGGCATGGTTTTAAAGATGATAAACCGATTGAAAAACCTAGATGGTTTTATTTCTCATATGAAACAGATGTATAAATTGTAAACAAAGTACAATTTCCCTTAGTTATTACATTGTCCTTCATATTCTTGATTCTGATTGGTCAGTGCTTACTTGAACATGATTGGCTGTCATCAAAAGTTTTGTTCTACTGGAATTCACGTATTAACAACGTCATTTTTGTTTAGTATTATTTGTTGATATACTTGTAATTTTCCGTTGTTGTGCTGGGTCGAATTGATTGACTTCTGTTGACAAATAGGGGCTCCTGTATGAATGCTTCGATATCACCTTAATGTTCATCTTTATAATTTATTTGACCTGTGGAGCTAGCAGTGGAATCCATGATGCGCATTGTGTCCTATTTGGTACTTGTCAGCTAGATTTACCTACACCGTGGGTAGTTCTGCTCCAACTGAGACTCAAGTCTAACTCCAGAGCGTTATCCTACAGGTCACTGATGCACGAGAGTCACATCTTGTTTGTTCAGGATTTAGTTATTCTGTTATTTCATTTACTTCTAAAATCCTATAGTGTGATTGGAAAACTGCTGGATTACTTTACTTTCAAGACAATGAATAAAGTGATTTATGGTTTACTACGATGTTGACAGTTGTTTCATTTCATCTGAGCCAGGAGTAGCAAACAGTTTGAGATCAGTATTAATGTTGGTAGAAATCCACTCACCAACCGCGTGCCTTTTCGTACAATTGGTAATGAGACAGACCTGACGAAGTGGGGTTCGAACCCGTGGCTCACTGGTTAGAAGTCGGATGCCTAGGCCAATGAACCACGGCTCCACCATTAACACTGATGGGTTATGCTTTGTCGCCATTGTGTTTTTAGTGAATGATAGTGAAGTTTCAAGACGCATATTTAGCTATATTCAAAAAAGTAATAACTAGTGAGTAAAGTTTTCTTCTAACTTCACTGTTGTTGCATTGGACACATCCATGTCAAGCATTTCTTGTCATATTGGATGACTATAGGAAGTGGGCAATCAGTGGGTTTGTAACAGAGTGAACCTTCCATTGTCATTCTAGACAACATCATCAGGATAAACTTTGGAAAGAGGTGAGCTATAGTAGTTTGTTCTGATGATCTTGTGTGTGATTGGTTGTTTCTGCCTTGGTCTTGTCATTATCTCCATGTTTATTTGACTGGTTGTCCTGATGACTTGAAATTTGAGTTTCTTATTGGTTGGTATATTGAGAAAATGTCAACGTGTCTCCTGATTACTGGCTGACCTGAATGTCAAGTTTCTAAAAATCCTCTCTCATTCTTTGTATTTTCTCTATGGAGGATTTTCATATTTCCCTAGTCAAATTCATGTCCACAGTAGTCTGTCTGCATTGATATGAGCGAAGATATGTCATGACGCTTCACTTCTAGTTGGTATTCATGTAGACGGATGTCAAGAGGTCGACTACTCTGTCATATATAGTGTTTTCTACAGTTTTTACAGTTTATTTTGTTGACAGTGCTTGGTTTGTCTTCCTTTGGAACTGCATCTTTTGACTTACATAGCAGAGTGAAGAGATTTTGTGGGCTTTTTGTGCTGCAGCGATTCCAAAAGGCCTTAATAATCTAGTCGAAATCTCGAAGACACTCTTCATGTAGGGTAGGACAATCCGTTCATTAATTTCCGAGGTTAACTTCTTGGTTAATAAAGAATTATGTAAACATCTTTTGATGGATTTTTCGAGGGAGTTGTGGAGATTTGGAAATATTTCAACTTGCTGTTCATTGTAAACTGACATCAGCTGGAGGAACAAAGGAGACATTGGAGCACTGGACAGCTGTTTCCTCCTAGCAGTGCTCACCCACGACCCCACCTCGTCAGGGACCGAACTCGCGACCTTCAGGTTCCGCGACCAGCGCGTTACCATTTAGGCACTGGGCCAGAATCCAATGGTCCATGTTTTCCACTTCTGTTAGCTCACGATATAGCGCAACGGACACCCAATGTCATCGTTGAGTAAGTATCCTCACGACCATCAGGCTTTGACTCCATCGGTCACGACTTCTCAATGGAACTTCAAGAATACCTCTTGAAGCTAGTCACCAATGAGCATCAGTTCAATTGAATTTTTTGAGGGAGTTGTCGAGATTTGGAATTATTTCAAGTTGTTATTCATCGTAGACTGACATCAGTTGAAGGAACAAAGGATGATGATGACTCGACCTCATCAAAATATATTATGACTCGTTTATTTTTTTTCACTCTGGGACTAATAATCCAGTAAGATATATGCTACTATTGAGATTCATAAATCAGGTTTTCCTACTACATCCATTATCAACTCTAGAAACACTCCTACCAATGAGCTATGCAAATATTTAGCATTTGACTTTCAGCCAATACGTCTAGAGTTCGAATCTTGTTGCACTTACTGAGATATATATAGTTGGGTAGTATTTATAAAGCGCCATTACTTATTCACTTGGACACTGAACTACATTATTCATTATTATTTGGGTATTATAGTGACGGTATGTGTATGCTTGACTTGACTAAAGGCAATTTGTGAAGTGAAAGTTATCTCATTGTTGTTTCTTCAAGATAATAATGATATCCACGAGTAAGGGAAGTTTCATCATGTATCATTCCTTCTTTTACTATCCACTCAACCAATTAGAAGACAAAACTGATACTTCCATCTCCGATGAGCTTATATATAGTGAATCTTTTTATTAGTTAGTAGCATGATTTTCATCTCCATGTGTTTTCCCTCTATCATCAATCGAACTACTCGAGTTCCAAGATAGACTGTTGTCCTTAACACTGATTTCTACTCGACATCGACCTCTATTTAATCCAATCTTCATTGATATTTTTAGTGTATCAAATAAGCTGTAGGTTTTCAAATCTAATTTCTCACTCTTAATTCAGATATAATGCCTAATTTAATTGATGGAAAACCAGGTAAGTATGATTACAAAGAAAATTAGTTCAGTAGATAAAATGTGCGTATGTGTATGCATACCTAATTAAAATGCGTAACTATCTGAGTTGATTCCTTAGTTTGTTATTATGATTATTTTCTTTGAAAGTGCATGTTACTACCATTACATTATTGATATTGGTAGTGAAAGTCTATCAACCATCAGACAGCTAATTGCATGCTTTTTGAATTTATCCAATCCTTTCAGCGTCTTTTATACAATATTCATGTTGAAATGGAAACATGTTGACTATGAACTGAATGAAAATGAAAACTTTGTTGGTTATTCCACATAGCTGGAAGTATATATCCTATATGTTTATGAAATAGGAGGTTGTACACATGAGTCGGTGCTGGTATTGTGTTACATTGATTAGTGTTGTGACCGTGTGGGGGGGGGTTGCGTGCGTGGGTATAATGATACTGAGACTCAATAGACACTTCAACTGAATATCTTTACGACTAATCTCCCTCAGTATCTTCTGCTTCACTGAGACGCTTAAAATCAGAAGACAAGAACAACGACAACTTTTATTAGGCAAATACATGACGTATATGCGTTTACAAAACTCTCAGAGAGTGACACCATAAATGAAACTAATTCGATTTCTTCTATGAGGTCAAATTTCTCCAATCAGGTTCTCATGCCAGCGTATGTATAAATCATGATTTGATCATGACTTGAAAACAACTCCCCTATTGGTTGCCTTTTTGTCGCTACTTATCAGTTGGAAATCGGATGCTTAGGCCAATGAACCAAAGCTCCACCATTAACACTGATAGGTTATGCTTTGTCACCATTGTGTTTTTAGTGAATGATAGTGAAGTTTCAAGACGCATATTTAGCTGTATTAAAAAAAAAAGTAATAACTAGTGAGTAAAGTTTTCTTCTAACTTCACTGTTGTTGCATTGGACACATCCATCTATGATGGGGAGTATTTGTAACTCAGAAGGATAATTTTGATTTTATGTTCTTTAAACTGGATGATTTAATCGTACAGGTTTCATTATGATTCTAGACAAGAGCATAGACTTCAGAGAGAAGTGAGGTATAAGGTCTCGTTTGCAATTTATTTGGAAACTTGCATTGATGACCTTGTGTATGATTGGTTGTTTTGATGACTTGACCTTCTTGTTGTTTCTTATTGTAACGATTTCAGAGACTATTTAGGCTTCGATGAAGATGAAATGGGTACTGTTATTGTACTATTGAAATCTGCTTTTTTTTTTTCTTTTTACGATTTAATTATCATACTGTACTCAACAGTTTCATCCGTAGATACCTGTCAATTCATATGGCTGAAATACACAGTCTTCAGTTCTCCATTTCACTCAGATCAATAGTCAAAGATTTACTAGGTTAAAATTTTGTTTCCTTCGGATCATTTTACACTGTGTATATAGGAGTACACCTTAGGTATTCTATTGGGATCGAGTTTTTAAATTACGTTTTACACAGCGGAATTGTGTTATTTACCAGATAACGTTCCTAACATAGTCTTAGTATCCATATTCATATCAGATAACTTGATAATATTGAGATACGGCTTATATCTTTCTGATAAGGGATCGTAGAAATTTTCAATATAACTGGAAGAAACACAGAATCATTCTTGTAACATATATTTAGTGCTTATTCGATGATCAATCTCTTCCTCCACCTTAGTTAACTTTTAATTCTGTCGCTCTGTACCCCCCCCTTCCCCTCCTTTTGTTTGATTGTTTGCAATAGCATGCATAGTTGTAATCAAGCTCTGCTTTAGATTTCTTAATAATAATGGTAACAATGGTGATAGTAATAATGATGACGCTGTGGAGAGAGAATTAAAAACCAATGACTGTGTATATGAATTTGACTGGAGAAACCTAGAAATCTATACAGTGCGGGAGAATTTTTAAAAGCTTAATATTCAGATCAGTCAGGGATCAGCAGACATATCGATATTGACCCGATTATCAACCAGTGTAAGCAACACATAGGTCAAATTTCAGATCATCGAGACAGCCAATCAGAATAAACACGAAAAAGCTTGGCAGACAACCAATCACACACAAGGTCATCGGGACAAGTTATTAAGTAAATTGTGAAGAATGGCCTATAGCTCACTTCTTTCTGAAGTTTGTGCTGATGATGCTGTCTAGAATGACAATTTAAGCATGACAGTTATAAACCATCTAACTGAAAGAATAAAATATCATCAAAATTATTCTCCTAAGCTACAAATTTTCTCCTATTATGTGATCAATACAAATGTTCACTTTGTCTTCCTGTTGAGGAGACAGTTTATTGTAACGCTTAGCACATTAAGTCTGTTCAACGTACACAAATCAAAGGATAAACATTTAGTGTATATGCATGTATTACTTATTTATGTTTTTGAAAATAGTATCTTGAATGATAATCATTTTTTGAAATAGATTCTTTGAACATTTACCTTTCTGACTTTAATCACAAATATTTCAGCATTTGATCAGGTGACAAGTTTATCTAACACTAACTTTCATTATTATTATTATTATTATTATCACCATTTTTTTCTAACAAGTTGCATGATTATGGTTAGAGCTAGTGTTCGTCTTAGTGTTACCAATTACTAGATTCTGTGCCGTTATTGATGAAAGAGGTTAGCATGAGACTAGAGAAATGCTTCTTACGCACACACGTACACACATTTTGAGCTACTTGTATTCTCACGTGACACCATAGTGAAAAGCGATAATCTAAACGAAGAATATTCTTTTCAATCAATTCTCATCAGGTTCTATAATTACAAAATGCATTTGTACAATGTGCAATCAAACCAAGTTAGGGGCTCCTAAGCGAGAACTGATGACAGTGGAGAAGAAGTCTTTGTTTCTATGCTTACAATTCGAGGGAGACGCTCCAAGTAATATCCTATCATAACGCCTAGCTAGAGCAGTCAATAGGATGTGTATTGATTGGCCACGGGAGTGCAACCAATTTCATGTTGTTTAGTCCTGAGTGCAGACTGAATCCTATCGATCATATTTGGCAATGTGGCAACCAAGCTAAGAAGCTCCAACCAACTAACATCTACTAATGTGCACCGCGATGCTGAGCTTCCTAGCTTGGTTACCACATTGCAGATATGATCCATAAGATTCGGTCTGCACTTAGGACTAGACAACATGAAATTGGTTGCACTCCCGTCACCTATCAATACATGTAAGCCAGTCCTACAGGAGGTCAATCGCGGCCCGAATAGCTCAGTAGTAAAGTCGCTGACTACAACACTGGGTGATGCGGGTTCGAATCTGAGGTGGGACATCAGTTCCGTCGAGGTTGCAGATACGCCTTACTGACGAGTGTTAGCAAGAACGAAACCTAGGTCCAGGGCTTCTTACCGATTGCCTCCAACCAACTAACATCTACTAAAGTCAATAGGAGGTTTTACGCAGGTCGGCTTTGTACACTATTCACTAGTCGACCAATACTCAATCCGAGACTGAATGGTAGTCTATCAAGTCTTAGTTCTTCATTTTGCGTATATCAGTTTAACAACTTTTCTTGTGCAGCTAGTTACATTGGGTGTACGATAAGGCAGGTACGTCTCCGGATACAAGGGCATTTATCAGCTTGGCTGAGAAAAGGCAAAATGAGAAAGGTAGAAAGTTTTGTCCTAGCATACACCTAGTAGACACAGGGCATCATATAAGTGCTAATGAAGCTTTTAATGCCATTCATCGTATTCCAAAAACGATACCACATGTAGCTCACCAACACCTACTTAACATAACGTAGGCTACTGCAACCTGAACTGTGCACTCAGAAAAAAACATGTCCGCGCGTTGTTCCTCCCTTGGCCTTTCAATAAACCGAAAGCCACCCCAACCTTCGTTATTCATTTTCTTTTCACTCACTATCACATTGTTCATTTGTATACATGTCATCTCAATATTGACTAATTTGAAAAAGAAAACAGATGATGGGGAGTATTTGTAACTCAGAAGGATAATTTTGATTTTATGTTCTTTAAACTGGATGATTTAATCGTACAGGTTTCATTATGATTCTAGACAAAAGCATAGACTTCAGAGAGAAGTGAGATATAAGGTCTTGTTTGCAATTTATTTGGTAACTTGCTTTGATGACCTTGTGTGTGATTGGTTGTTTTGATGACTTGACCTCCTTGTTGTTTCTTATTGGTTGATCAAACTATCCAGCTCAGAGAACATATCATTAAAAGAAAAATTGACTTTCATTTAGTCCCTAAAGCTCACTTCATTTTAAAAGTGTATATACCCTCAATTCGGCTTAATTTCACTATGTATAAATGCATTTTTATAAGTGTAGAACCTGAAGAAGATTTGTTTGAAAAGAATAGCCTTCATTTAGATTGTTGTTTTTTTTTTTCACAGAGTAAAAGTTATTTACAAGAAAATATTGTTGATGTGGATTTTTGAATTATTGGCAAGATGCATATGTTGCGCTAATGATTTTCTTTTCTTTTCTTTTTATTTGTTTTTCTCTTTTTATTCTCTTCTCTTTGGGTATTTGTTGACAATACTATCAACCATATCTTTCTCCTTTGTAGACTTGAATACATCAGGTGAATTAAGCCTTAAATCGGATATTAGTAGTGAACAATTGAGTTCAGTTGAAGCTGATGTTTTTTGGTGTACATCATATTTATTAGATACAATACAGGATAATTATACATTTGCTCAACCTGGCCTACAGAATAATGTTAAAATGTTAGCTAGCTTAATTGAACGTGTTGATACTAAATTGTATCAACATTTTATTCAAAATGATGTAGAATTTTTACAATTCGCCTTTAGATGGATGAATAATTTATTGATACGTGAATTACCTTTACGATGTATTATACGCCTATGGGATACTTATATGGTGAGTTAATTTTCTTGTTTCTTTGTGATTTTTCTGTTTAAAAATTCTTCCAGATTATTATTATATTATTATTATTATTTATTTATCGTTTGGATTCTTAATGGAACATAGAACTTCAGTAGCATGTCTCCAGTGTACTCTATTCTCTGCAAACTTTTGAACGTGGTTGCACGATAGCCCATAAACTCTCATTTTTTCCTCGCACAATCTCCTCCATGTCACCCTTGGACGCTCAACTCGTCGCTTTCCATCTAGGTTCCATTCGAGGGCCTGGCCTAGTGCTTGATGTCCCCAATCGGCCTTCTCAGTGTATGCCCAGTCCAATCCATCTCCACTTTCTTCTGCATATTTGTTGGGTAATAGGTTGTTGGTTGGTTCGTTGACAGTCAGTCACAGTTCCTTTTTGCTTATTCTTTCTGGCCATCTGATCTTCAGTAACGAGCGTAGGTGTATTTGATTGAGGGGAATTGTATTATTGTAGTTAAGTACAATTGCACATTCGTTGATATTTAAACTTATGATTATCACTTTCACTGGTTATTATCGTGTTACTGGATGACAGCAAGTTTCTGTCAGTTTAGTGCAAATTTCCAATTCTAATAACGGTCCATGAGAATATTGAATTATTACTTTTACTAACTTGAACAATGGATTTTTGTGGAGTGAATAAACAGCATAAAACCTTACTGAATTGTTTGCCACTCCTGGATTTCTCCAGACTGCAGCTTTACTCTTGAGATAATGACTGAGTTCGCTTATCCTAACGGTTTACTTGGGTTGTTCTGGCTGGGATATCTGTTTCCGTACGTGTTACCACACTAAAAAGGTCGATTAAAGAAACGATCAGACTAAAAACGTACAATATCATGAAGAAATCATTTTAAAAGACCAGGATACTGTGGTTTTAACAGAAGTAAAATATTTTTCCAGGGTTATCAGCAAATAAGTGTAGAGATCTACTGCACTCAGCATAAAGCATGAACAATATCCGAATTTTTAACACCAATGTCAGTCAAGTCAGTGCTGCTATATGATTCAGAAACTTGGCGTGTCACGAAAAGCATTCCCAACAAACGACAGATATCCTTCAACGGCTGCTTACCCTGGCTCAATACTGAAGATCGATGAGATGGCCAGAATGATAAGAATAAACAACACGGGACTCTAGTCTGACAACGAAGCAACCAACCAATCAAGAACCTGTTGCTGAACAAATATGTAGAGAAAGAAAATGGAGATTGACTGGATTGAATTGGGCATACACTGAGAAGGCCGATTGGGGACATCACACTCCAGGCCAGGTTGTCGAGTGGAATCCAATGGGAAACGACGAGTTGGGCGTCTGATTCGAGGGTGACATGGAGGGGATGATATGAGGAAGAAATGAGAGGTTGTGGGCAATGGTGAAGCCATGTTGAAAAGACTGGATAGTAGAGAGTGGAATGGAGGTGTACTACTGAAGTGGTATGTTCCACTAGGAACCCAAGGGACAAATAATATTAATAATAAGTCAGCAAATTCAATCGATACTGCGTTCCCTTTGCAAAAGATGGGTTATGAAAGATTGACCCTTTGAAACAGTACACTTTTCTATTTTCCCATAGTTTTCCGTCGATAGTAGTAAAGTTCAGATTAATACAAAAAAAGGTTGACTGGCAGGCATAAAGTGCAATGAATACTAACAAAAAAAATACTCAATGGTAACGCGCTGATCACGAAACCAAAAGGTCCTGGGTTCGACCCCCGACGGGTTCATGGGTACACACTGCTGAGGAGTCTCTTACACTAGGACGAAACAGCTGTCCACTGCTTCCAGTGTTTCAACGGTTCTCCAATTGTTCTTCGAGAAATGGTTTCACTGAAAGGACTTATTTTGTTTTTGGCAAGTCTTTAGAGATTTTTATTTTTCGTTGGTTAGTCGTACCACCTCTGAATGCAGTCTGTCTGCTGATAATTATATTATTATTCCTTTGGGTTCCTAGTGGAAAATAAGGCTTCAGTAGCACTTCTCCATTACACCCTGTTCTCTGTAGTCATTTGAAGCTGGCACCACGACTGCCCACAAGCTTTCATTTCTTCCTCACACTATTTCCTCTATGTCACTCTCGGACGGCCAGTCTGTTAATAATTACTACGCTAAAATTTAAAGTTGGACAGGGGGAACTTGAATGAAAATTAAAGATCGTACGATTAGGATAACAGTAGAATCTAGTCACTTTAGTGCAGTAAAATTTTATTGTAGATATAATGAAAGAAGGATTTGCTTTTATTCTAATATTCTCTTTAAGATTATTCACTTCAACACACAACCCATGTTTTTGTTGAACTAGTACTTGGAGTACAACTGCACGATTTTAGAGCTATGCGCTCTAATTCTCTTTTGCATAGAGGTTACACACTACAAAAGAACTGTAAAAGCTACGTGTTTTTTTAGCTTAGATCATGAGTTCGAACTCCTGTGCTGTCACTGAGAACATTTATTGTTAAATATAGCCAGCCTAGTACAAGAACCTGTATGTGTAAACTTTGAGGTGAAATATATTGTAAATTAACTCAACATGCAGTTTATTAGTCAGTAATTGGAAGTTGTTCACTTCCACTCCTACGAAACATCCTTATAAGTGTGTGTTAATCATAAGGGATTAGGTAGAGAGAGGCTTTAATAGTGTTGGAAGGTAAATTTGTTCGTCTACAAACATATCGGTTTTATGGGATGCTTCTGTATAATAGTTAAATGACTGATTGCCTGATAAACAAATCTATATTGGAGTCCTGAGCTGCACAGCAGTTGTAGAAGTTCGCTTTTATAGATGTTTATTTCAATTTGGAGGTTTCTGAAGTTTTATTTGTAGATTTCATATTGATATTCATCATGGACTGACATCAGTTGGAGAATCATTAGGAACCTGGGAGCACTTGGCAACTGTTTTATCCTTGTGAGGGACTCTTTCTCAGTTTACATCTGTGACCACGCCGGGGATTGAACCCAGAATCTTCAGGTTCCACTGACGGAGCGTTAACATTGAACCACTAAGTCGCCATCTAATGGTCTACTTTTCCAACTATTGTTACTCCACGATATAGCATGGCTTCCATCCAATGCCGTCGTTGAATACTTCTCATTAGAACTTTTAGGGATCTCATCTCGGAACAAGTCAATAATAAGCACTTTATGTTGTATTCATCTGATTCCCATATTTTTTGTTAGCATTCAACACTTCCGTTTCTATATGTTGCCTTTGTTTTACAGTCAGAAAATAGTGGATTCTCCACCTTCCATGTATATGTATGTGCAGCGTTTCTACTTCAATTTTCAAATGATCTTTGTCGAGAACGTGATTTTCAAGGGATTATGGTATTATTACAACATTTACCAACATTTCATTGGACTGATGAAAATATTAATTTAATTCTAGCTGAGGCGTTTCGTTTACATTCATTATTCAATTCAGCAATGCATCATTTAGACTTCAGACGTCATTCTGATTTGGATTAGTATTCTATCTTCGTGTTTCTCTCTCTCTCTGTGTGTGTGTGTGTGTTTGTTGTTATTCCCTTTTCTGTAGACTGTATGTTCAGATTAATGCTGAAAATTGTTCGTCTAAATTGCTTGTATGTAAATTGAAAGTCTTCCTACTCTCTCTCTCTCTGTATTTTTCCCCATTCCTTCAGATATTGTTACTCACATTATTGACTGGCTTTTTGCCTCTTTTAACTGCTCAATTGTGAATTATAGAGTTTAGTTGTTAGATATTATTGTTTATCTCCCGATAGATTTCTACCTTCAATCTTCCAATAGTAATTATTACCTTTTATCCCAATTTTGTAGTGTATCAATTATCCTCAATGAAATTATTTTCCACCTAATTTGCCTATTTTGATTTATATTCGAGTTTAGGTGTGTATTGGTGTTGTTGAGATCTGTGTGACAATGATAACCCTATGTTATATGTATGTGTTTCTATGTATGTATAAACAATATGCGTTGTTTATCATTTACATACCTACTCGAGATGTAATTTTGTCTCTTCTAGGGTTTTCTATTCATTTCCTCTTCTTTTTCAATCGTTTTGTTTGGTTATATCATGGTGTAATTATTATCACTGGGTTTTCTTGTAAACAATCTATGTGTCTTTCAAAATTACTAATTATGTTGTAGTTTAGTGTGTGTACCCTTACGCGCACATGTATACCCATGTCTGTGGTTACTTTAAGGCATATAACCATTTACTAAGACTAATCTCATAGAGAGATAGAAGTATTTTGTACATTTATGTATGTGCATACAAATATTTCTTTTATTACACAGTCTATATCTATTCAATGATCAGTATTTCAATACTTTTCCACAGATTTTTATTGAAGTATCTTTAATTGTATTGCTTTCAAAAATTTCTGCTGAACACTGGTACATATTTATGTATCTGCATGCATGTTATCATAATCATTATGAATAGTGTTATTGTAATCAGAAATACTGTGGACGGTGTTGCTTACTACCTAGATTAGATTGTTTGGTTTGGTATCTTCTGGACCCCGAGTGGAGTGATACCTTTTAGAACATAATTATTACTGGAGTAAATTTTTTTGCTTTGAATATTCTTTCAGTTATGTGGGAATTGTATAACTAGCGCTTTTTTTTTCACTTGTTTGTATTTCAGGAATCTTCATCAGCCGCACATATAGTCTTAAATTACAATGGTTATGAGAACAGAATTACACACACACACACACACACACATACATGCTATAACTATAGAATAAAACAGTCATGTAATGTAAAGTTGGGTAATGCAAAGTATTAAGAAAACAGAAAGCATCATGAATTGTACATCAGAGTGATAGTTAATTAGAGTGTTTTATTGAAATAGAACGTTCAAGAATTGTACTAAGATGTGAGAAATGAAAGAAAAGGCAGAAGTTAATTCTGTGCGTAGGCGAGCAAAAGAAAAAATATTTTAGAGATGAATGGGATTTTTAATTTAGGGGTAGTATTCATTATGGACTGACATCAGTTAGGGAATCGCTGAAAATCTGGAAGCATTGGACAACTGTTTCGTCCTAGTAAGGGACTCCTCAGCAGTATGTACCCACGACCCGGTTAGGGAGGGAACTCAGGACCTTCAGATTTCACGGCGAACGCGTTAACCATTCAGCCACTGGGTAGGTTTCAAGCTTTTAACTGTTTCCAACTTCTGTCAATTCACGATGTAGCGCGACTATCACCCAAAGTCTTCAGTTGGCATGTGCGTCACTTCCGACTAGTTGACCTCACAGGTCACGGCTCCTCATTACAGCTTCGTGCGTACTGCTGAGGAGTTCCATACTAGGACCAAAAAGCTGTTCGGTGCTCCTAGATTTTCAATGGTTCCCCAAATGATGTCAGACCACGATGAATACTACCTCTAAAAAATTATATGTTTAGATAGTGCAGCTAGAAGACGAAGTTTATCCGAACAATGTAAGAATTGACGTTGAACCTCGCACACAGGTGCATCGGTTCACGTTGTCACACTTCACTGTAGTATACAAAAAGCAGGTGGATAGAATGAACAAAAAGGATATCAAACTGTACAAAGTTGTGTGAGAGAATAAGTAATTTGAACATGGAGTTTAGTACAAAAACGTCAAAGAGTGAATATATATGGGCCATCGTGACCGATTTCCAGCCATTTCACCAACAGTCCTCAACCATTGATTCCTATAGTCTTAGGAACAACAGTCAAAGGGTCTACATCTCCCAACATGGTCCAGACCAACAGTTACGGGCTTCATGGACTAGTGTCAAGTCCTAATTTGGCCACCCTGAACCCTCTTCTAACCTAATCCAATATCTCCAAGTATGGCACGTTGGTGCATGAGGTGGCTTGGCATGAGCACTACATACCCAAGCTATCTCAGTCAACTAAGAATCACAACCTCACCAATCGACTTACTTATCTTACCTAGTAACTTGACCTCAACATTGATAACACGGTGATTCTATCAAACACGAACAATGTTGTGAAGATATCGGTGATCAAAAACCTGTAACCGCTTTTCAGTTAATCCATAGAAATTCAGTCATGGTGACAGCATGTTTTGCATCTCATATGCTGTTAATACGATCACTAATTTTTGATAGGTGAACCAAGAGATGTGAATGTGCTCTAGTTGCGGTTCTCATGAATGTCATTAGTCCAATCGGACAAACTACTAGGTCATCATTTCCCTTGCTTGAAAAATATTTGCTTATTCAAATTTCTTGTAATATTCAGAGAGTTCTATAAACAATATAGGAAGTAGTCTCTTTCACCTACCTAGGCAATACAGCATCGTCTCAGCTACAGGCGACACAGACACGGAGGACGATATCAAAACCAGGATCGGAAAAGTACTTCAGGCTTTCATCAACCTGAAATCAGTGTGGAGATCGACTGCACTCCACTCAGCACAAAGAACAAGATCCACATTTTCAACACCAATGTCAGTCAAGTCAGTGATTCTATGTGATGGTTGAGAAACTTGACGTGTGATGACATGCACTTCCAACAAACTGCAAACATTCATCAACAGCTGTTGCCTACACTCATTCGATACTGAAGATCGATGAGATGGCCAGAATAATGAGAATAAGCAACAAGGATTTCTGGCAACGAACCAACCAACAACCTATTACCCAACAAATATGCAAAAGGAAGTGAAGATGAACTGGATTGAACATGCACTGAGAAGGCCGATTGGGGACATCACACTCCAGGCCAGGTTGTCGAGTGGAATCCAAATGGGAAACGACGAGTTGGGCGTCGTAGGTGAGGGTGACATGGAGGGGATGATATGAGGAAGAAATGAGAGGTTGTGGGCAGTGGTGAAGCCATGTTGAAAAGACTGGATAGAAGAGAGTGGAATGTAGGTGTACTACTGAAGTGGTATGTTCCACTAGGAACCCAAGGGAAAAATAATAATCATAAACGTTATGCGATATATCATAAATTTTGCCATCTTCCCTGGTTATTTCTTGTTTATTGATGTTCAGAAGAATTTTTTTTTGAAGATTGTCAATAACTCTATAGGAGATATTTTTAATAGGGATTTATACTCCGTTATATTAGCGTAAAAAGGTGAAGAATTTAGAAGTAAACTGGGGAAAAAACGTTCAAGTGTTTACACTTCATTAATTAATTGAGTAGGTAGTTGATTTGATTTCCTCCAAGCTTGAAAAGTTATCTTCATCAGAAATCGTTAGTGTCTGAAGAAGTGAAGAAAATCGGAAAAACATTGGAAGGTTGTTTTTTCCTCCCTCCTATGGTAAGGATCCATTTACTTTTATAGTGTGGCAAACTTTGATTCTTATGCCAAGTATATTTACTAGTGGAAAGGATGTAAAACTTTTATGATGAGAAATCAAAATTAAAGACGTATGTTTCTGTGAATATGAAAAACTGACACCTAGGAAGTTTCACATATTCAGCTATGTATTCGCTTTGGGTTGTGTTAATGAATTAGTCATTTGATGTAGGACGACGATTGAAGGTGAAATATGAACCTTAGTTACAGCAAGATTCGATACATTAGTCTCCGAATCGCCTACTAGGCATTCTATCAACTGAGCTATTGAACAGGTTGGAAGATCTTCCCATGTAACCACTTTCTGAATATGAACAATTCATTATAGTGTGCTGTCGCCAAATGACTGTTGAACTTCCTTCAACCGATCAGAAAACAGTCGGGTATGCACAGCATATTGAATTCTTACAGCTTTTTCAACTCACTTGATAATTTCAATGTATCGGATAAGGGGATGATTACTCTTGATGTTGTTTCTTACTTTATCAATGTCCCCTATCACGGAAACTGTTTATTTCTTATGTGATTTCATTGAAGATAATACATTTCATGTGGGTATCTCAAAGCACCATTTAAAATAATTACTTCCATTGTGTACTTTCAATGTGCAGTTTGAATTCAATAACCAGGTATACAGACAAAACGATAAGGTCACTAATTGGACTGCTGCTGACTGATTGCTTTACGGTAAATATAGTTAACAGATTGCTCCACTCAACAATTGATAGTTTTTACCTATATAGAAGATAAATGGATGGTAAATTCATCATATGTAACCAAAATATAGATGTTGGGACTGTAGTTAAAAAGTTTGATGATTGTCACCTATCGGTCAACTTCACATCGGAATTTGAAAAGCATTTCTAATTTCATTTTCTCGATGTCTTATTGAAACGGAGACCAGATGGTTCCCTTCAGAGATTGATTTATTGGAAACCAATATGGAATAGACAATATATGAATTTCCATGACCAGACGCCGCTCAACAGAATAGCGAATCTGATTCATTTTTGTCATCGAGAAGGAAAAGAATCTGCATGAGTGATCCAATAGACAATGAATTGGACAAACTGGATGCTGTCAAGAGTAATTGAGAAAAAAATTGAAAGTAAAATAGAATACGGAGTAAGTACTCACAACTCCAAAGAAAACTTTATCTATGAACTTTGGTTTCAAAGGTGATACGGCTGCGGAGGTCCTTAAGAATCGGTTATCCAAATCGCTTAAGAAAACATTCTTCTCTGCAAAGTTTCTCTAGTCGGCAAATACTTGCGGTCTGTGTAGGGATAAGTTGCCGTTCTGGGTGACTTCAATGTGTTTCTGAAAACTTACTCCTGTGGAACTAATTATATAAGGGTGGACAAATAGTGAACCTTCCAAACGTATCTCTCCTGTGGACTTTACGAGAGGGTAATATAAATTAATTAACAGTTCAGTTATTGAACATTTGATCAACTTTGAACGTATAGCTCCACCAGAGTCCTCCTTCGGTGTCACTTACTAATTCAAAGCTGATAGTTCTACAGTTGTGTACAACAGAAGAACTGGCAGTTCAACAACTCCAGTCTGATCTTTGTGTACAGAAGAAGTAAGTCGAAAGAAGTAGAAAGCAGTAGGGGAAAGGAGGGAGAAATGAGAAAATGACACTATTAAGTGTAGCGGTTGAGATAAAGATAGTGTGTGTGTACTTCTATGGCACTGACATCGGTTCTGAGCCATATCAACAGAGTCTACAACCACTGATTTCTCTTATCCACCAGACCCTAACCAGCTAGTCTCCATCACCCCACAAGGCCCATATGAGAATAGTCAAGGACTTCATGTTGTGATGCTATGCTTCAGTCTGGCCACCCCGAGCTATTTTTCAGCCTGAATTTACTTCGTTCAACGTTGTGCGACGAGGCAGATGGTGGTTAGACGTACGTAACACATGTCCCAACCAGCCATCTCAGTCGATGAAGGTTCACAATCGCATCAACTGACTTACCTCTCCTCCCGGAAACTCTACACCTCACTTCTGTGTTACTGATGTGATGACACGGCGAAAAACGGCCTATGCTACGAAAGTAGTGGTGGCCAAACACGTGAAGCCTTCTCATGTCTTCTACTTTTAATGGCCATGTATCACAGCTATACAGTAGAACAGAGCAGACTGCAGCACAGCACACACGACGTTTAACAAACAATCGGATATCGCGGCGGTACCATAGATAGCGTTAGATGACAAAACCTAACCGAGCGTTTTGTATCCATGTAGAGATTTTGTTGGGCAGTGACCAGTGCAAAACGGCTGATCCCACTTCCTAAGTAATTGAAGTGTTCAACACAGTCAACTGCATCACTCTCTATTGTTAGCCAAGGGGTCATTGAAGGCCAGTCTTGGAGCAAGAATTTGAATTTGGGTGGTGAGAAATGCATCCCAAACACTCTCAGATTGCCACTCAAGCTGTCCAGAAGACTTTTTATTTTGTTATCGTCTTCACCCAACAGGACAATGTCATCTGTGTATTCTACGTCAACCGAAAGTTC